AATAATATCGTGTGTTTTGTTTTTATTTTTTTGAATTTTTGATATAAAAAATTAAATTAAAAATATATTATTAAATATTATATATTTTTTATTGCATTATTAAAAAAATTAATAATTATAAATATATGAATAATAATTTTAATAATAATAATAACATATATCAAATAGGGAAAAAGAAATGAATAAATATGGTGGAGAAATATGGTGGGGTATATGATGGAGACATGTGGGTCCCTAATAAAGTAAAAAACTTTCTGAAAAACTAGCTGCTGCAGGAATGGAAGGGAAATGGGTGTTATTGAATGATGTGTTGGATGAATAAGCTGATGTGGCATGACAAAATAGGTAAAAATTTGCCTACCTGCTGGAGATGGTCTTAGCCTATTCTGTACATATTTTCTTTAGACTATAACTTTTCAACATTGTTTCTTTAGTCAACTTTTTTGGGCCTCTCCTTAATTACTCAAAAAACCTACAAGTGTAACCAATACTTTTTATTTTTTTGTCTTTTTATTTTAAGATAATTTCCGACATTTTTCTTGAGAACACAAGAAGGACACAAATGTTTAACATCTCGCTAGAAGCGAAGCTATTGAAGTGCATAGATGAAGCATATCTTTATTCCTTAAAGTTTATTGATAAAACTTCAAATATTTGACCAACAAAATTCTCATTGATAAATGCACGCTAATATCTTGATTTAATTTGTTAAACACAGTACTTTTTTTTTCTTACGAGTTTAATTTCTCTGTTTTTAGAGTTTTTTTTCATATGACTTTTTCTGACATGTCTATCAAAATTATAAATTAACACTTTTTCCCAAAAAAATATGCCTTTGTGCTTGCCTTGATCTTAAAAATGTAATAATATCTTCATAATTATATGATTATGCTGAGTAAATAATAGTTAAAAACTATGTGAACCACCCCATATTTTCTAAAATTACTGTTTCACTCATACGTATCTATTAGACAACTAATGCAATAAAAATTAATATTTTTTTAGAATTCTCTTGAAAGGACCGAGTCCTTCGGAAGATGTGATTGCTCTCCCTCGAGCATAGGAGTCCCTTAATTAAGTTTTCCCTATCACTCAAAAGAAGGAAGAAGAAGAAGAAGGAGAAGAGTAAGAAACTAATGCAATAAAGAAAATATAATTCTTGAATTAACATACGAGTTCGTCACAAAAAAAAAAAGTTTTGTTTCTTTAGTAAAATTCTAAGGTGACACGATTATGTATGCATTAGCTGTGGGGTCTACGCGTACATCCTCAAAATTCCTGTAGAACATTGCGTCCAAATACTAGGCGATGGATATCTGACAGCAAGGAGATCACTGACATGGGCCCTCACCGGAGCATTAAATGTTTACCTTCCTATGGTAGGATTGGGATCCTAGTACATCCTAATATCTCCTAATGCATCTTCACATTTTATTTCATAGTACATCCTCGTATTTTGTGCTTATGCACAAAACGAAAGGTGGAGAAACATTAGGAGATATTAAGAGGCATTATGACGTAGTAGAGGATCCCAATCCCCTACAGTTTTGTGTATTTCATAAAACGTGCTCTCTAATTAAATGCTAAGTTTGTCCTTGCTACAACAGTGAATTAGTGAGCATTTAATCGTAAATCTCTACATGCAGTAACAAGGAAGACTCAAGGCACTAGTTCAATCTCGTCCGCCGAACCTGAAGCGTGGCAGTGAAGGATGAGATCCACAAACTTGGGGTTTACCCAGTTGGAGTCGGGGTCAAACTCGGGTTTTGGCCTGAGAATCCTCGTGAAAGGAAAAAAAATAAAAATCTAATATTCTTTTTCCAAATTTAATGATGTAGAACAATTTTTAGATTAACAATTAACAATTATATATGCAGGTTCATATCATATACCGATCATGTAATTTTCATAAAATTTAAAAATACCTCTGTAGATGCTCAACAATTACATATATGCAGGATCATGTCATATACAGGTCATATAATTTTCATAAGTTTTAGAAATATCTCTTTAGATGCTTCCGAGAATGCAGGATATGATGGTTCTCCTTTTTCTAATTTGCTCTGTAAAGATTTCTTTTTGTGAAAAGAAAATCGTGAAAAGAAAAGAACGTCTATGACTTTACTATGTCTTTTTTGATAGATAAGTTCCTTTTTACAGGGAGCATATAGCTAGGTGGATCTTGTAGGGATTCTTTCTCATAGTTGTCAGATTTAAACTCATCTGAAATATCTCAGGAGATCTTATCCTTATCTCATGAGATTATAAATCTCAACTATTGTTGATGCTTGATATCACACAGCCAATTGGATCCAAGCTGGGATTGGTTCTGATCGGGAACTGGATCGGTCCCCATTGAGTCCTTACCGGGACGTGGTAAGGGAGAGTGATGGAGGGACTGCTTTTTTCTTCGACTTTATGCCTAGTTCTTGAATGGGGGATTGATGTTCATGCTGCACAGACAAGAATAATCCGTGAGAGGGCGGGGACCGGTTCCCCGTGGTTCCTCCGACTGTCAAGTTAGTAAAACTCGAGTGGGGAAGGGGAAGATCAGGAACCACTGTGGTTCTTGAAGTGACAATGTCTCTGCCTAGAGGTTACGTGAGCTCCTCTGACTAGACCAAGAACTGTCTGTTCTTATTTTTGTGCCATGTATGCTTTAGGGTTTTTTTAGATCAAGAACCTTTTTTTAGATTGCCCTCATCCCTCCTCCTTTGGCTATGGTGAATATCATCTGTATATAAAGAGGACGTCAATGACAGATTGGTCACTTCAGCCATGAAAATGGCAGTGACAAAATGTGAGCTAGAAGGTAAGTCATCATTTGCTCTACATGTGTCGGTTGACGACTGGAGGGGAAGTCACTTCGTCATGGGAGAGGGTGTTTCCGTATTTTTCGGGAAGTAATTAATAGCGTGGCAGAAGGCACGTGGGTATACTGAATCATCCCTCGCTTTACAGGTGTCGGCTGGCGATTGGAGGGTAAGTCACTTCGGCATGGGAGTGGATGTCGCCGCATTTCCCGGGAAATGATTGATAAGTCATGGAGGCACGTGGGCAGCTGACAAGTCACGGAGATCATTAGGCTAAAATCTGGATAAGTTTTGTCCGATATGGACTGAAATGTTAACATATGCTCTGGGGATAGACTTGAGACCTGGGCCGAGTCCTCAACTTAGCCGACAGCAGGGAATGTCCCTTGAGTCATCTTCGAGAATTGCCCAGTGAGTGGTAGAATGCCCTAAGTGGGTCGTCCTCGGCGATAGGTTCGACTAATCCCTTCTTTCATGCCAATACAAAAGACGGGATCAGTTGACCCTATCGCCGAGGACGACCCACTTAGTACTCCACTATTACAAATGGTTGAGACATATTATTCCATTAATATGACAATGTAACTTATGTTAGCTTCTAAGTGAAATGCTCATATTTTCAGCTAGGAACTATTAAGATTGGTTTTTTAGAAAAACTTTGCCCTATATCTTTATGATTCACCAATCAAAACTAACTGTTGATGGCTAATATCAAACAGTCACTAAGAGAAAATATTAGGTTGATGGAGGTCCTCTAACCCTCTAAATGTCCGGTTCTAAAATGTGTTGTTCTTCTCTGCAAAGCTAAAAAAACGTAAGAGGGCGGAGCTGGGTTCTCCGGTTGTTCCTCCAATGATCAAGTCAGTAAGTTACTTGAGTGGAGAAGTAATTGAACAATAGACCTTATTAAGTACTATGAATGCGGAGATAAAGATCTTACCTTTATGTTAAAAATAGTATCCCTATTTATAGTGGTAGTAGATGGTAGGATGCTAATTTCGGCCGAGCACGAGCTAGCGACCAGGTCAGCATCTGTTTTATAAGTGTCAGGTGACGAGTGAATGGGAAGTCATTTCCGTGTTTAATGTAAAGTGACTGGAGGCGTGCGGCGTCGACGTGGTCTGATGTGTCATAAAGATTATTGGGGTGGAGGAATGATGGCCCCGATTATGCATTTAATGGCATTTATTGTGAGATGATCAACTGTCAGCATGCGGGAAGGGGCTCGAGGGTCAAGATATTTCGCCGCCTTTCTACTCGTCTGGTGGTCGAGAAGACAATCTTTTTGAGTCGCCTTCGTAAGATGTCGGCAAAATGGTCGGTTGAGTAGGTTGATCAAGTAGTTGACTTGGCCAGTGGTCAACATGTAACGCCTTTCGAGTCACCCTTGCGAGATGTCGGCGTGTCGAGTCGTCCAAGCTAGGTCTTTGGTTATCTTGAAGAGCTAGCTCCATTACACATAATGTAGGACACTTGTCTGCTATTGATTGGAGATTATTTTTTAGCACTAAAATGACTACAACACTAAGTTTCTTTTATCTTAATCTTAGGCAATATTATTGTACCCATAAAATAATCATGCACATATAAGAATAAATCATAATTTATTAGTTCATGAAACAAAATAAATAAATTGACTTTGTAGAGCATATATCTCTAACTCGTGCCTCGCAAAGGTTCCGCATGTATTCAATAAATAAATAGTTAATTAAAAAAATCAAGGCTCTAGACTCCAAATAGTGCCATGCGAATGATATTTCATACTAGAGTTAAAATTTGGAAAATATATTAAAAAGAAACAAAAAGAAGATAATACCATCGAGCAAGAAAGTAGATCGATTTTTTGTTCCTTAATTTTTTTCTAAGGTTGATATGGAATTTCTACTGCAGTAATCAACAAGCTATTTTTATTAACATCCTATAGACAATGAAACTATAACTTTATGAGATAAAGAAATCCTAATAACAGCGAAACAAATAATCTGTCGAATAATTAGATGGTAAATTTTTATAATTCATCAAACGCTTGATTTTTTAATGAAATCCGGAATTGGTTTTATATATTTGAGAGTATATAAAAACATTTTTGTTTCCTTTTTTTTTTTGTTAAAAAAAAAACTTCTGCTAAAGGCTCAAATCCTACTAAAAATAGAATCATCCACGATTATCTTTTTTATTTTCATTTTTTTGATAGTTATTTTCATAATATTTTTATTTTTGTTCTTCTTTATTGTTCTCTCTCTTTCATGATGTCTCCTAGGCTCCTAGCTAAAATCTCATGTTAAATAGTTCAACATTAATTTTTTAGATATGATTATTTACATCTTTGTACATGTGGTATGGTACAATTACGCAGGTGATCCTCGGGTTTACGTATCTACGTGAATAATCTGTAGATTACAGACTGGAATTACAAGGGGTAGCCCTACATAATCCTTAAAATTTAATTTGACTTAGACTAAGTTATGGTTTGAATAATTGTTCCAAATGAGAGGCCCAACAGTTACAGCCAAGGGAACATTTTTCTGAAAATACAGAGGGAGTGTCGGCTGGGTTTTTTTGGTCGCTTTCATGAGGCAATGGCATGAGAGGCCCATGAAAGATGCTTTAATAAATTTATAGAATCCTTTCTGCTCTGATGTTAGCTCATTAAAAATCAATTGAATGTATGATAGCTTCGTCGAAGGAATCGAGTTGGTTATTCTATTCTGTCGGGGGGGGGGGGGGGGGGGGGGCACCTCAATGAAGTAAGGGTTACACTAAAATTCCACTCATGAATCTTGGGTCCGTTCGGTTGGTAAAAAAAACATGAAAATCAAAGATAAGGAAACATATCTCCTATAATAGGTTGATTATTTGTGTTTGATTTACTTTTTAAAAGTAAAAAAGAGATGAGATAAGATGAGTTGTCACTATATTATTTGATGATGTGAGTGATTTTAAAAACAAAGAAATTATAAAAAATATTTTGAGACTGTTTGGTTGGCTAAAAAAATAAGGAAATGAATTGTAAGAAACTTATTTCCTTGTTTAGGTTCTTTTCTTGTGTTTGTTTAATTCTTAAAACTAAGAAAATAGATGAGATGAGATGAGTTGTCATTATATTATTGGATAATATGACGCATGCGTAAGGAAATCAATTTCTTTGTTTTTTTTTTGAGGAAATGAAATGTTCATGAGATGAGATGAGTTGTCACAATATTATTGGATGATGTGAGTGATTTTTAAAGATGAGATTAGATAAAATGAAATGAGTTGGATGATGTGACCAATTTCTTGTGATTGATTTATTTTTAAAAGTAAGAAATGAGATGAGATGAGTTGTTGAATGAAAAAATATTTTATTGGATGTTGTGAGTGGTTTTTAGAGATGGAAATGAATGAAAATAATATTTTAATAGTTTCCATATACCAATTTCCTTTTCTTGGTTTTTAGGAAACCAACCAATTAGACATATGATACACAATATCTACTACTTCCAGTTTCTTTTCTTTTCTCCCCCTTCTACAGTTGAGAGAAAATAAAAAATAAAAAGAGATCCATGTTGAGCAGAGCTAAAAAGTAAGGCTAAATATCATAGAAAACGCCCCTTAACTCTGAGTATTTATCATAAAACGCTCCTAATTTTAGGCGAATTTTCCACTAAAATCTTAAAATTAAAAGAAGTATTTTAATAAATCTGAAAGTAGGTTTTTTTTGTTTTTTTTTTTTTTTTTTTGGGGGGGGGGGGGGGGGGGGGGGCTGTCTGCGATAACCTTCATACTTAAGAGAGGTTTCTTGATATTTTGGAAGTGAGGGGATGTTTTTTATAATCATTCAAAATTAACGGGGTTTTCTAATATTTACCCAAAAATTAACGTAAGGAAAGGACTGACACCAAGCATGCATGTATGGTTTCCATACTAATCTTTAGCAAAACATTGTTGGACGGTTAACGGTCCGCTCACAGTTCATAGGCATTTATGGCAATTTAATTTATTGCTAATAATGAGTGTGAGTCTGATGTTAGAAAAGACGCAAGTCAGATCCATTTATTTATTTATCAATAAATAGCGGAAAATGACGTTAACAATTTTAGGGTTGAAATTTTAGCCCATGGGCCTTGAAATGGCGCCACTTCACCTCAGGAAAGTGGTTGAAGGTCACAGAGTATTTAGGCCGTACTTTAAATACAATATTTAGAGGAAATCATTTGATAACTACACTTTAAAAGGATAGCAGGATACTTCAGAGTTCATAAAATATAAAGTATTCACTCTAAAACAAACCCAATAATCAAACACAAACAGTCTTCGCACACTCTAATATTCTGCTCACTTTTTTTTTTTGAGGACTATAAACAAATATCAACACAAACAAACTTTAATTTGCACAAATAGAAAGTTTCATATGATGAGGCTTAAATCGCCTGAATTTCTTCCCCAGTTACTTGAGCAACATCCATAGACTGACAATCCTGTAAAAATGTGAACGATATCAAGAGAAAACTACGTTAAAGGGGCTTTCTTTAACAAAATCTCAAAGTTTAAATAAAATCCCAAAGTTAAAGGGAGGTTTTATGATGATCCGAGGTTTTCTGATATTTTGAAAGTTAAGGGTGGTTGTCCTATAATTGTCCAAAGTTAAAAGGGGGATTTTCTGATATTTTGAAAGTTAAGGGTGGTTGTCCTATAATTGTCCAAAGTTAAAAGGGGGATTTTCTGATATTTAACCTAGCTAATATGAGCAAGAAGGTAAATAATTAGATAATGATGTTGCATTTCTTCTTATAAAGATCAAAGGGTAAAAAAAATGACAAGCAGGAGGAGCTAACAATGTCGGGGGGAAAAACCTATGTGATGAGCCAAAAAGAAGGATAATAAGAAGAAAAAGAGCAAGAATTAATCAAGGGAATGAACATACCATGTTCTCTTTATCTTCTTGTATGTCCTTGTCTTCACTTGATGCTGCCTCAGTAGGCATAGGGTCAACTGATTTATTCAATAAAAAGGAAGTTAAATAAACATCAACCATCCACTAAGCATTATTCCATGCCAGCCATTTCTAACTTACATATGTTAAGGGTCAAGATTCACATTAGAATTATTCAATAAAAAGGAAGATTGTTATTTTTATTATTATTATTGATCAGTTACTGCAGACTTCTGAGTTGGACAATGTATGTAAAATAGATCAAAGGTGGCACCTATATAGATAGTTTTCGCCTTAAACATAAACATTAGTTTTATGTACTTCAGTCTATAAACATATATTTGGAAATCAAAAGAAAGTCTTGTTGTTACCTTTCTTGCCGACAGGTTCCTTTGTTGAACTCTTGATCTTTGCATTGCCACGGTTAGACTCAACCCTCCTCGGTTTCTGAGGTTTCTTCTCTATGTTACTAATATTAGCATCTTTTACAGGACCAGGATCTGTATTCTTGATGTTTGAAGCCCTGTTCTTAGCCGCAGAAACTCTCTTTTCTACAGTATCCTTCTTGTTTGATTCAGAAACAGTAAGAGCTTTCGAGATAAGTGACTTTGGTTTCAAATTCCTATCTCCTGTAGAAGCAGAAGAGCTGTCAGCATTTTTGTTTGGAGCAAGATTTCCTTCCTGTGACTGGGGACTGTTACTAGAGAGCTTTAACTGCTCGAACTCTTCTTCTAATATGTTGTAGCTTTGAAGTACATCTTTCGCAGTTTCTCCTAGTACTGTTAAGAGGCTGTGTTTGCGCACATATGATTTCAGCTCCTCCCTCATCCTCTGCAGAGGCTGCAGATATAAATTGCATTGTATAGTGAATAAGAAAGAAAAATGGCAAGCCTGGAAATGCAAGGCTGGCTATCATCCAATAGTAATGCACAAGAAACTCAACTCAAATTATACATGATTATATGCCTCCCTTAATGGATAAGATCATTTGTCCTTCTAATCTCCACACCAGTTCAAGAACGGACATTTTCTAACCTTCCCTTGTCCACCAAAACAAAAGGCAAGTGATATTTCTACATAGCTATTTAAATGTTTTAAGACAAACTAGTAATTCATCATCTATCTATCTTTAGACACAGTACCACTCTCCTGACGAGAAACAACATCTTTGTCTATTAATAAAACTAGACAACTAAGAGATTCAATACTTCTTGTTCACTTCGATTATGATTTATGAATAATGATTCCAGGGAGTAATTTTTAAGCTCTTTTGTTTTAACTCAAAAGGCTTAAATTTAATTAGGCAGCAAATTTCATGGTTGCAAAAGTTCTGGCTGTTTTGAGTTTTCTCCGCATAAAATTTAATGGACTTTTACATAAACCCACTAAAAGAATAGCTGAATTGCCTACTTAAAGTTCTTTGGGGTAATTTATGCATCAATACTTTGTGATCTCCTAATTCCAGAACAATATGTACAAAGTTCTTCACTATTTACATCGATGATTAATAGAAATTAGATGGTTTCCATAGAGCTCAACAGACTAATTTGTATACTCAATTTGTTCTCCAAAATAGTATACAAGCATGTAACTGCAAAGACTTACAAACAAATGTCCAACGTATTCTATAAACTAGTCAAATTAAACCAGCAGACAGATTTTGAGTGACGAAGATATATATTTGTTAAACAATCAATAGCATAGCTTAATCTTTTTGTTGTCGTGAAATTAACAGCAAAAAAAAAGTAACAGGAGAATAAAGGTGTCAATTGTATACATACTTCACATCCTGAATCCAGCGCAAGCTTAAAGAACCCAAGGGAAACCGAGTGCTTAGAAGCTGATTCTGAGAGTTTGATCTGTGCCAGCCAATAAGAGACAGAGGATAGCAGATTGAACTTTCGCCTATTAGATGACTTTGAAACATCAGAGAGTGGAGTAATGCTTCCGACAGATGCCTGGCGAGGGCTAAAAGCAGACTTTGTAGGTATCGACAGCCTTCGTGGAGGTTTTGTAGATTTATCCTTTGCAGAAAGATCAAGAACATCCATACTTTGGCTAACATTTGATGGAGGCCTTACCCTAATTTATCATATAAAAATAACAATCAGATTAAAACAAAAACACTATATTCAGTTTGTGGAAGGTTTGAAGTAACTTGTGATCAAAACGAGGTTAGAGGCAGAGCTAAAGAGAACGTAAGAAGCTGGAGCCCAATTAGAGACTTTGAAATTCTTAGAATTAAGTAGAGGTGAACCTGGCTTGAACCTGCGGGAATTCAGATGCTTGGGTCATCTCCTAATTATAACTAGGATATATTTAACAACACGAGACATAGATTCAATATCAAAGAACACCTGAAGTTCAAAGCTGCACGGGTGTTCAAATGATTATCGATTATTTTATGCCAATTTTTTGGTACATTCAAATATCTGCAGTGAGAATATCCTTGAATGGAGTACAGGTGTGTTAATTATAACTTGAATGTAAAACCAAAACTTCATATACTAATGGTTTATATGCAGCTAACCCACTCTGATCCATCTTATGCAACAGGCGTCTTTATTATTATATCGAGTTAGATCTAAGTGATCTTAACAATTTTGTGGTTACCCAATAATCATAGTTTTGCATATGAAATCGATTCAAAATTATGAAGTGGAGGTCAGAGCATTAAAAATGACTGTATGCTTGGGGATATGTTTACATAATCTATTCTACTTGACATTTATCATTGTACGCTTGCTAGTTCTATGTTGAAGGTATTTAGCTATTTATAAAGTACTACTCTCTAAGATAGGATATCATCATGAATCTTTTTGAGTTACAATCATTATGCACGTGCCAGTAACTACTCAACTTAAGCATCTATTAATTCACATATCAGCGAGATTTTATCTCCATTGCATACTTATAACAAAAAGAATAATATTGAAATGTAAAAAACGGGTGGTAACTCATCATTAACTTAGCATGCCATTCAATATAGGACTACTTGCATCGTAGTAAGGTTCCAAATCTCCCACGAAGCAAAGCTCGCTATTGTATTTTCTTTATGCGCAACATTCTCGAGCATATCCACCAACCTTCCTAAAGGAAGGTTTTTGTTAATCCATCTCTGGTAGTTTTCATTGTCGAATGAGCAAATTACACTACTCTACCTTCCCTATTAAAAGACATGTGCCTACATATTGGCCAAGGTACTTCATCCAATATGATGGAGATAAGGCCCCAAAACTAAACATCACATCACCATTCTTAACTTCTACACGGTGCACAAAGATCGACACCTCAAGGTGAAAATAGCTGGTAATTACTTTGGATGCATACAATCATTCAGATACACGAGATTATATTACGAGTCCTGCAATTGGTAATTACTAGTCTAATTGATATTTCGAGTTGTTAAAGGCTTTCTAAAGTTTGTATTAACATCACATGTTAGCAACTTGCGACATTCTCACGAATTCCTGAAAAGAAAAATCTAAAATTTAAAAATAAAATAAAATACAAATAAATGGTAAATTTTAGTGGAATCGTCAAAAGTATTAATACTTCCTTCTTTTCGCTGTTTTATATTTTATTTCCAAATAAATAACAAAATTAGATATTAGAACAAAATAAGCAAACTACTCCTAAATTATTTAAGATAAAGTTGAAGAAAAATAAAAGATAAATTGACAGGTCGAGAATGGATCAGACCTTCTAGAAACTGAAGAAGATTCAGATGAATCATCGATCGCCGCCGCCTTGGATCTCGCGCTGGATCGAAGAGGATACCGAAGCTTGGATCCCAAGGAAACCGCTGCAAAAATCATCAAAAATCATCAGAGAAAATAGAATAATACTACTATTTATTAAAAAAAAATGTTGAAGT